AGGAGGAGCGAGGAGCGAGGAGGGAGGAGGGAAACATATCGAGGTGCGCCACACCACGGTAAAGGACAGGCTTGAACTCCTTACCGGGTTCGTGGATCCTTCAAGTTGTCAGCTTGGGCTTCCGAGGGGTCCTTTTTGGGACCTGGGGTCATCAACATCGCCCGCGGGACTTCTGGGGCACGCGGATTCAACGCCGATCCCTTGGAGCTGTGGGGCGGGGGCGCGGGGCAGAGGGGAGGTAGGCTGCCCTGGCCGTGCCGCGCGCAGCGTGTGACGGCGAATCGACGAGGCGTGGCGGGCAAGGGATGGGAAAGGGGGCGGGGCAGCGGCATCGGTGGCGGGCGAGCATGGAACATGGAACATTGTGGGTGAGGTAACATGGAACATGGAACAGGAAAGCGGATACGGAAAAGGGCGGCGCGGGCCTGCAATGTGTATCCCCTCTCTACCCCGCCTGCAACACCATCGCTTTCAACAATCATCGACCATTGGGGTAGGTGGAGGCTGCCCAGGGCGCAGCGTGCGCGGTACGGGCCCGTTCTCCGCCCAATCGCCAGGGCACGAAGCAGCCGCACGCTTCGAGGGTCTTGGGAGGGGGGAGGTCGGGATGGGATGAGAGGAGGGAGGGAGGGAGGGCGCGGGACCGTTCGAGGACGTCGCGGGCCCAAGGGAGGGGGCTCGTCTCCTCCACTGCTCTCTCGCTCCCTGGCCTTCCCCTCATACTCCTGTTCCTGTTTCTCCTGTTCGTCCTGCTCGTCCTGTTACTCTTCCTCCTGACGGCCATACCGCGTCGAATGCACAGGACCTCTTCTGAACTCCCAAGTGGTTCCCCAGATCCTGAGATGGGTTTCTTGTCAGGGTGAGGGGGCCGAACGGCCATTCACAGTCCCTGGGCGCGTGGCTGAAGTGGGATTCCGCGATGCGGATTCATTAGGCGCCGATTTTTCGTGCAAGCAATGTGGGTGGGTCGCGGGGTGGGTCGCGGGGGGGTCGCGGGGGGGTCGCGGGCGGGTCGCGGGGGAGGGTCGCGGGTGGGCCGCGGGTGGGTCGCGGGTGGGTCGCGGGTGGTCGCTGACGGCATCGCGCCAGACCGTATGGGTTTCTTTGTTTCGCACAGTTGAAACATTTTGTCACAAGCGCCTGAGCGGTTGGTTTTCTTGTCGGTTGGTTGGCTGGCAATTTGGCTGATTGGCTCGTTGTTTCAGTTGACACGTGGGAATGGGTTGGGATGCTTGCTGGGTGGCTGATTGCGCGCGTCTGTAGTACTTCAATAAATGAGGGATGGTGACCTCGAGATCGCGTTTCCAGAATAATTTACCACGGTCTCGGGGACGCGCGCCCCTAGCTCTTTACGAGGATGCGTGGCCTCGAGCCCAGAGCCGAATTCTCAGGAAACGAATCCCCGCCCGAACACACCTCCGATACAGAACATGTACTTTTTTCTGCTCTGGAGAGGGGGTGGCGCTTTTGGGCAGCCTCCGTGGGGTGGGCTTGTGGCCTCGGGAGCGCATCTTTGATATCATTTGCAAGAGATGGTGGTTTCGGGGGCGCAGACTTGTCGTACTCTATCGTAAGGGAATGCTGCCTCGGGAGCGCGAATCTGGCGTAATTTGCAAGGGATTAGGGCTTGGAGAGCGTAAGTCTGGCGTAACGAACGGAGGATTGTGGCCTCAGGAGCGTCAGCTCGCAATACTGTAAGAGGCGTTGTGGTTCTGGGGCGCTAGCATGTCGCATTTTATAGTTGATGATGGCCTCGAGGACGCGAGCCTGTCGTAGTTTAGGAGGGTTGTGGCCTCGGCAGCGGGGGTCTGCGGTCATTTGCAAGGGATTGTGGCGTCGGGAGCGAGAGCGTGACGTTCTTTACATAAGGACCATGGCCTCGGGAGCGCGAGCAGGTTGCATTCTTATTCGCATGTCCCAGGGCCCTCCGTGAATTCACGCAACGCGACGCTGGGCGGAGAGCTGGATGATCCCCCCCCTCCGCACGGACTTCAATCGTCCCAACAGTGGATCCAGAAAAGAGGAACTCTCTTATCATTATTGGGGAGCTGGAACAGTTGCAGGGAGTTTGAGCACCTGCTCCTCGCAGCCTGTTGGCCCCCCAAGGGGCCTGTTTTTTTTGGGTTGTTAGCGATCTCTCTCTCTCTCTCTCTTTGTTTCTCTCTCTCTCTCTCTCTCTCTTTCTCTGTCTCTTCGTGGGTGGACAACATATCCGTATCCGCGGCCTCGTGGGCCGGTCCCCTGGGCCGCGACCCCGGATACGTGGCGTTTTTCCGTGGACGCCCCGCGCGGAACGTATCCGTGCGACCGCGTATTTGCGGGATCGCAGCCCAGAACCCAGGCCGCGAGGGCGCGGATGCGGATGTGTGTTGCCGCTCGTGATCTCTTCGTCGGTCTCTCAATCGCTCGGCCATTTCCCTCCTCCCCCTTCCCCGTCCGGCCCCGAGGTGCTGCTCGCGGAGGCCGACGTCCCGTACGACATCGTGCGGGAGATGGAGGAGGGGCAGGGCCGTGGTGGGGAGGGCGGGCTCTTCCCGCCCCTCGCATAGCCGAGCGGACCTCAAGGCCAGCCCCCGGGCTGCAGCCTCTGGTCACCGAGCGCGTTCCACTACTCGCCAAGTGCCTACTCGCAAACGTCAGAGAAAAAAAACATGTCTGCTTTGATGTGATTTATCGTAGATCCCCTGCGGGGGATCCAGGCCATTTGCGAGAAGTTACTTTGCGAGTAGTGGAACGCGCTCGTCTATCTGGGGGCCGCCGAGGGAGGGGACCTTCAGCAAGAACGCTCCCCGCACAGCAGCACTCCCCGAGAGGGAGAGGACGCGCTGCAGAGTCGCGGGCGCGTGCTGCGGACGGTGTGGGCCGCCAGACGCCGAAGGCCGGCAGACGGGCAGGCCCTGGTGCCGTGCGCAGGGTCCACTCCGATCCGGTCGATCCGATTCGATGGTGATTCTGGCCGGCCCGGCCCGATCCGATTCCGAGGTTCCTTCGGTCCGATTCGTCCCGGCGCCTGCATGGCGCGGTTGTGCGTGCTGGCGCGGCCGATCCGGTTCGGTTCCGACTTACGTTTCGATTCGATCCGATTTTCCGATTCGATGCTGGCTGATCTCGCCTGCGCTGAGGTACCCCCCCCGCCTCGGAGGAGGCAAGCCGCGCCCCGTCGGCACACCGCACGGGTTTTGTTCGGGCACACGATCGGCGCGCGGTGGATGTTCGCGTCGGGGGGGGGTGGTCTTTGGGTTGTCGGCGGGGCAGCGCCCCCCCGCCCCTCCAGCGCGTCCGGGGGGTCCCTGAGATCTTGGCGCATCTTTTTCACGACGGGCATTTCTGCCTTGTTTCGGGCCTCGGGATGCTCTCCAGCAGCTGCGCCTCGCCGAGAGCGTTCCGTGGGTGCCCAGATCGTTCCGAACTGCCGCCTGGGAGCCGAGTTCTGACCCGCAAACCTAAGGGCGCCTGCGACACGGTCGTATCTCCAGCTTTTTTGATCAAGTGGGAGCGGTACAAGTCGCGCCCATTTTAGTCCGAAGATCGCTGGGGAAGGGGGTGGGCTCAGTTGCCGTTTCGCAGGGGCCGGGAGTCGCAATGAAACATCGATGGACATGTGGAAGATCGGTGGAGGAGTGAATATCAATGGAAGGCTCGTTGGAGGCTGGACGCTCGAGGTTCGAATGAACTTCGACGGACCCTGGACCGACATGGTGGAAAGAGCGTGTTCTATGACGCTTGCAACGGGGGGGGGTCGAATCGGGTGGGGAGGGGGCTTGTAGGGCCCTTTGTTGGTGTTATTCGGTTCTCTCGTTCGGGCCTCGTTTTCTCCCTCTCGCTCTCTTTTTCTTTCTCTCTTTTTTTTTTTTCTCTCTCTCTCTCTCTCTCCCTCCCTCTCTTTTTCTAAACTTCAATAAATGAAATGCTGTGTAATCTCTCACCAGCGGAATTATTTGTGGCGGCCTTGCAGATATTCCTTTTGCAACGGGTCGCACATTGATTTTTAGTGGCGGATTTCAGATGGATTCCGTCTGTGGCAGTTTACAAGTTGTTTTTTCCGGGAAAGGGCATAAGCCCAGGGTTCTTTTTTAGTACGTAAACTTGTCCCGGGTGCCTCAACTGAGGTGGGCCGGCGGATTCTTTTCCTGATGAATATCGAGGTCGAGGTGGGCCGGCGGATTAAATTTTGAGGATGTCTCAGGCGAAACGCTTGCTTTTGAAATCCCGATCGATAAATCACAGGGTGCGGGCCACCTCAGCACGACCACACCCCAGCACGACCACACCCCAGCACGACCACACCCCAGCACGACCACGCCCCAGCACGACCACACCCCAGCACGACCACACCCCAGCACGACACACCCAGCACGCCATGCCGACCACACCCCAGCACGAGCACACAGCACCCCGATCGCTAAATCACTGGGTGCGGACCACCCCACGACACACCCAGCCGACCCCACCCCAGCACGACCCCACCCCAGCACGACCACAGCACGACCACACCCCAGCACGACCACACCCCAGCACGACCACACCCCAGCACGACCCCACCCCAGACACCCTAGCACGACCATACCCCAGACGACCAAACCCCAGCACGACCACCCCATCCCCTCAGCACGACCACACCCCAGCACTACCACACACCAGCCAGCATGACCCACCCCAGCAAGACCACACCCAGCACGACCACACCCCCAGCACGCACCACGCACCCAGCACGACACACGCCCCCCAGCACGACCACGCCCCAGCACGACCACCCCCCAGCACGACCACCCGCCCAGCACGACCACCCCCCAGCACGACCACCCCCCAGCACGACCGCACCCCAGCACGACCACTTTCCAGCACGACCACACCCCAGCACGACCACACCCCAGCACGACCACACCCAGTCGCACCCAGTGGAATGTTTTGTGGGGTGTCTGGTTGAGTGGTTGCCTGTTCGTGGGGTGTCTCGTGGAATGTTTCACGGACTGTCTCGTGGAATGTTTCGTGAGGTGTCTCGTGGACTGTTTCGTGAGGTGTCTCGTGGAATGTTTCGCGGGGTGTCTCGTGGGATGTTTCGTGAGGTGTCGCTCAGTTGGGTATCGTGAAAACGTGACCATGCTGCACATGTCTATATCCGTTTCCGGGTTCGTGGGTCCATCATGTTTTTTTGTCTGTGGCCTTACAAAACGATTTCTTGTCTTGTGGCGGTGTGGCGGCCTTGCAAACAGGATCTTTTGTGGCTGCATTACACACTCATTCCCCTTTTGTGAGTATCCCAGGAGGAAACCAAGACACGACATAATAAGATACAATATGCAACATCCAATTGTTTGTCTTACGCATGCAGTGTTTTAAAGTTTGTGGGTGCCCGAAGCTGAAACAATCAAAGGCTCAACGTCTTCAGCCATCAGAGCTCGGAAACGTTACAAAGCAGCGTTTTCAGCCATCGGAGCTCCGAATTGTTATGAAGCGTATAGATTTCAACCATCGGGGTTTTGAAACGCTGTAAAACACAATGATTGCAGCGTTTCGGAACTCCGCTGATTGAAAACGTTGCTCGTTGCGTTTGCATGTGTTTTTTCCTTTGGTCCATCTTGAAACATCAGTAGAAAAGGATATCCTTCTGTAAGGCCACCACAAAGGAATCCTCGTGTAAGGCCGCCACGAACAAAATCGGTTTGTGAAACCGCCACACACGGAACTCCTTTTGTAAGGCAGCCGCAGATGGAATCCTCTTTGCATGGGCGCCACAGAGAAAAGCTGGTCGTAAGGCCGCCGCAACAACATTCCTTTTAAAGGCTGCCGTCGCAAAATGAACTCATGTTATAAGGTCGACACAGGAAGGGGATATTTTTGTAAGGCCGTTACATTACAGGACTTCTCTTCGGTAATTAAGTGGCTTCGGTAATTAAGGCTGGGTCGCTGGGTGTCCATCGCGCTGTTCACCTCCGCCGCGTCGCCCTTGAGCGAAGCTGGCGGGGAGTTTCGTCGCGATGTCCGAGGACGCGGGCGCCAAGAGGCCGGGGGCCGGGGACGCCACGCAGGCTGGCAGGGCCGCGCCTGGGTTTTCAAAGTACGGGCAGAGCCGGCGCCAGGGGGAGCATGTGCGCTTTGCGTACGGCTTCTCCAAGAGCGGATGCCGCTCCGACTACGTTGGTGCTACCAACGACGCCGCAGGCCTCGCGGAGCAGCTGGGCGCGGGGCATGTGGAACGCCACCTTCCCGTCAGCATGTCTGTGGGCAGCTCGCCGGAGGTGCGCCTCCCTTTCGGAATGGCGGCCTTCGCCGCAGCGACCGCGACGACCGACCGCCAGCAGGCGCAAGGCATGGTACTGACCGCGGTGTGCAATTTGTTGAACGTGTCGCTCACGCCCTTCGTTGCGACGGCCAAGGACAGGGGTGGCGACCTCGTCATGAAGCAGGCTCTCACGATCAACGAGATGGGCCTGAAGCGCGCGATCGCGGACAAGGTCGCTTATGCCGCAACGCCCCCGGAGTTGCAGACGGTGTTCAGCGAGGACTCCTGGGGCGCCATCTTGGAGCACTCCGAGCTCGTAACGGCGTCCGGAGGAGCGGAGGCGGACACAGCATCGTGTCCACAAATTTGGGGTCCAACGATAGGCATATTAGAGAATCCTTTGGCTCCCTGCGGCGCGCGTTGATCCGGATCAATCCCTACCTGAAGAACCTGCTCGAGGACGAGATGGGGCTCCCCGTGCCCAACCGCGAGCTGGCGACCATGCTCCAGGACGACGGCATCGGCAAGTTTCCAGGCTTCCTGCCGCGCCGGTTGGTGGATTACGCGGTGGGGCAGAAATCGAAGGTAGGGGCGCCCGCCGCGACTTTGCTTGCCGAGACCTGCGTGGATGAACGCGCGGCGGGGACCGGGCTCACGGCTCTCAAACTTATAGAGCGCTACGTGTTGCTGGTGGACCCCCGCGTTTTTGGGTTGCCTGCGTTTGACAGCGCGATGTCCAACTTGATCAAGGGCTTCGACATGGTGGGCGCGATGAACCACGGAAGCGCCACCGTCGACTCGTCGAGCGAGCTCTACTTCATCGCGATCAAGGGCCACCCGGCGCGCGCCTTCCTCTCGTGGAACAGGCCTTCGTATTTGGGCGGCTTGGCCTTGATAGTCGCGCGCGGCGCGTCGGCCAACTGGTCTCGCGCCAAGGTGGGGGAGTTGCCCATTCCCGCGGGCGGAGAATTGCTTGTGGAGATGGCGAAAATGAGCCGCCACCTGGCGAGGCGCTACGCCGCCTCGGAGCACTTCATGGCGGCGCCAAGCGCGGGGGTGGGCGAGGCCGAGGGGGGGGGCGATGAAGCGGCTCGCGCCTTCTTCCATTCATAACCGAGGACGCGGTGTGAATGAAGGGTCGAGGCCCGCCCGGCACGGTCGCTTTTCCCTGGGCCGCTGGCGGCGTTATGCCTAAAGCCCAACCTGTGCCCGCGAGGCATGGCGCCACCGCCGCGGCGTCCCTGGTTGCGCCGGGGGGCGCGGGGGCGGCCCCCGAC